TCACCACTTCAGTCCCATTTCTCAGCCCCTAACCAAGGTAAGAGGAGGAAGGGAGGGAGAGGGTGGGAGTTTTCAATGGGTAGTGTTCATAGAGAGAGTAGTCCCACTATCCATCTAAATGCCTAGGGTCACTCAATACCTTTGGAGCTGGGTGCAAATCCCGTTCACCCACCCCACACCTCCAGTGAGTTTGGGATTGGTCTTCATCTGTCCTCTGAATGTTGATCAGCCACTGGATTGGTGGAGACATTAGTGCCAAGAGGTATGTAGAAGGGGGAGTCAGGAGATAGCACAGATAGAGGAGGCAGTCGTGGCAACAGTGTATGTCTCCACTGCTTAATATCTTCAAGAGGTAAGAAGGAAGAGAGGGACAGTTTCCTCTCCTCAACAGAAAGACAATAGAGCCTTAAGGGCCTCCAAAAATTGTGGAGGTCCTCCATGGACCCTACTCTCCCCTCCCACTATAACCACCATCACTATGCCACACTGTGTCAGGTCCTGGTAATAATCTCTCCTCTTCAGGCTGGCAGGTCATCAAAACCACAGGCTGCCTAAGGGGCAGGCTGGGTGAAAGGGAACATTTGGCTGGTAAAGCCAGGAAGGGTGGCAGGAAAGCAGCCTGCATTCACACTATTCAGCTTGAGGAAAATCTGTGGGGTTTCCATGGCAGTTTGGATGTCATGGAATGGTCTGGACTCAAGGGAAACATTATTGGAGAAGGTCAGTTTTCCTCACAGCACAGAAGGACATTTAATCTCACTGTATTTCATGAAACTAATTCATAGGTATTAAGGAACAGGAAACAGTGGTTGTCCCCAGGAAATAAGAGAACAGTGGAGCTGAGAGTGGAGGTCTCAGGGCAGACCTGGGAAAGCTCAGGTGTCAGGAGGGTGATTCAGCCTCTCTTGGATGGCTTTCTGCAAAAAACCTTGGAGAGGGTGGTCCGCAAGACCCCTCCTTCTGGTCTCACAATTCCTACAAGCAGCACCAGGCCATGGTAGGAGACCACATCCACTCATTGCCTTGTGTGAGGAGCATGGTCCCAGACTGGATTGTAGTGACCACTCAGGGACCTGCTACCTGGTCCCAATCACATTGCTATTGGTAATGGGAGGGTAAGGGGAATTATGTAGGCATGTAGAGATACTGCCTGCCTGAGGAGCCCTTTGTTTTGGCTCAGGAGATATCAAGCATTTGGCTCACTTCGCCCATGTTGACATTCCATCTTGAAGCTGGAGCTGAGATGTAGCTGCAAGCATCTGTGACTGGAAGTTCAGAGTCAGAGGATAAGTCATTATACACACAGTGCATTTGCCTAAAACCTTGGAAAAGTCAGTCAGCCTTATTTGGAAATGGGATCTTCACAGAAGTAATCAAGTTTATAATGAAGTCATTAGTGTTGGCCCTAATCTAATATGACTAATGTTCTCCTAAAAAGGCAAAATTAGACAGAGACAAGCATGCATGGAGCAAGATTATATGAAGATAGAAGAATGCCATGTATAATAAAATAATGTTTGGGGCTACCAAAAGTTAGGAGAGAGGCGTGGAACTGATACTCCTTCATAGTGTTCAGAAGAAACCAACCCTGCCAACACCTTAATTTTGAATGTCTAGCCTCCAAACCTGTGAAACAATACATTTTTGTTGTT